GATGTGTTTCATTTCGTTTCGCAAACTACAGTAAGCCTATTTTTCTTGAAAAAAGGAGGTTGCATAAGGGCTCAACACTGAAGATAGCCAACTAGCCACAGACTAGTAGCATTTCTTTGGCCAATGGTTTTTTATTTCCACTTGCCAGTTTGGCTAGTAAAAAAACTGAAATAATTGTTGTAACATCTACCAGTAAGTTGTCACGAGCCACTTGGCTAGTAAGTTGAAAAGTTAGTGATGAGCCCAGTGCATAAGATTTTGTTTGGTATAACCCTCTCCTGTAATTGTTCTGTTTTTAAAAGTAAAGCTTGACTCTGCTGTTTGGAAAACTTCCTGAATTTAAAATGTGGCTTGATTTGTTCATGTGATTGCATACAACTAGATTATTTGGCAACTTTTTTTATATTGGGTACTCTAGATACACAAAGATATCCCATGGACAATGGATGGTACAAATCAAACCTCTTTCAAATTAATTGTTAACCTGTAACTGTCTCAAACCTAAACATATACCATCCAATGTATATGACCAGTATAAATCTTTTCAAACTAGTTTTAATTTTTCTATGTTTCAGATCTATTTCAACCATAATCTGCAACAAAGAAAACAGAAAGTTAACTGATATGTGTTTTTTTTTTTAAACCCGGTGTTTTGTTTAATTTTATTTGGCAAATAAAATTAAACACAACACTGGGAAGTCCACTGGTGGACAATCTAAAGCTTTCGTGTTCAGGGAGATGGAATGAATACAAATTTCTCCCACCACAGATTTTGTTTCAGTAAATACACCTGTAGGGATTTCATTAATTTTGGAAGTAGGTGTAAATTAGGACATAAGTAGGCAGAATACAGTTCAGCGGTAATCAAGGCAGGTTTGTCACCAGTCTTTCTTCTGTCCATTTAACTTGGTGCACAGCAAACTGATTGAGCTGTCAATTGAATTTTTGAAAAACATTACAAAAATCACCCAACAACCAAAAAGGCGACAAAATATATAAAAAAAGACCTTTATTGATGACTGTTTTTTAGAATGTATTGAATGTTTTCCAAAAAAAAACTGCAAAAACCGGGAGGTAGAATGGCCTTAGTAGCTGGCTCCATTATGGAGAGTAGCTGCTGGAATTCGCCGGTTGCCAGCTTCTTATGAAATCCCTGAATACATGTATTCATACTGACCTAAGTTTGAGGATATGAACAATCTTTGTAGTTTGCATTTCTCACTAACATTTTATTTAATCCTGTACCAAAACCCTAATATTAGCATTTCATATTCTCAACACTGTTATCTTTACATTTCTTTTGGTACTGACAAGGAGAATTTCTTTGACAATCAGGAGCTCCTTCAACTGGTGATCATTTCCTTTATTCTGACTGGTGACCTTAACTTTTGATTAAGGAGAATATTGTAAGGAGAAATTACATACCAATCATTCTTAAGGGTAAAAGAGTTCATTTAAGCTTTTTTGTTAAAATAGTTTCTCTCTAATTGTGTATTTGCCCTTTGTAAACAGAATGGCATTTGATCAGATTCAAGCGCCACCGGCTTCTAAAGAAGCTGTTGAATCTTTACCATCCATACCTATAACTACAGAACATGTTGGTAAGTTGTTGAGTGTGTAGATTTGTCCCTACTACCATTGTTTTATTATACAGTTGAACCTTGATTATCCAGACCTTGACTATGTGGACCTCAATTATCTGGACTTTCGATTACTTGGATTTTTTTTCTCTGGTCCCATTTTTTTTCATGAATATTAATGAGCTTTGACCTTCAAAACTTAAAGACGTACAAAAAGTCTGGAAGAGTGCTTTTAAAACAGCACATTACCTCCACCTTTAAAAGATTGAGTGCTCACAGACAAAAGCATTTAAAAATGTGTTATTTTTATTTCCTTTGTTTAAATTTATTTATGGTCTCATTAATATTCATATTTTCTCTTATCCAGAGTCTCGATTATTCAGACTTTTTACCCAAGTCCCAATCAGTCCGGATAATCGAGGATCAACTGTAATAGTGTCTCTGATTGATTTTTCAATGGGTGGTGAAAAAGTCTTTGTATTTCTGAGGTAAAGATCAGTCTATCAGAGGGGAGAATTAATGATAAGATTGTTATGAATATGTTCTTTCAAGAAGAAAGCTTATTGTTTATTTCCACTCTTTCTAGTTAAAGGTTTCTCGTGTCCCATATGCCAAGTGGAATTCAAGGTGAGAAATTTGTATTCTGTTACTCCACAGTGTTAGGTAATTAGGTTAGTCAAGCCAAGAAGGGTCCAATGTAACATTTTCTTAGGTAAAAGTAAAGAACCCTATCCTACTGACACGTGGGCCAATGTGTTGGCCAATGTGTTGGCTGACACACGAATGACACACTACCAGCGCATCAGCCAACACACTACCAACGCGTTGGTAAGATCAATCAACACATCACCCAATATGTCGCCCAACACACTACCGATGCGTTGTTGAGATCAACCAATGTTTCGGCCAACACACCACTGACACGTTTGCAAGATTGACGGTATAATAAATGAAACTCTAAATCGCCACTATTTTGAGGACAAAACACTACCTACACATTAGTTAAATTACACCAGTCCAACAAAATGGACAGTACCGGTAACCATTGTATCAAACATTATTATCCTCTTTTAATGATGTCAGATTGGTGAACTTGTCAAGAAACTTCCTTGTGATCATATGTTCCATAAGAGTTGCATTCTACCATGGCTGAACAAGGTAATGGTCACATGACTTATCAGTTACTTTTAAAACCCTTTGACCTCTAAAGCCCAGTCTACACGAGCAATTTTTATGTGGCAACTGTATGTGGCAATTTTTATTTGCCCGTGTAGATGGCTCGATAAATATTTATTGTTAATTTGCATCAGTAATAACTTTTGCACAGCGGAGATGCTCATGGAAAGGAAAAAAGCAAGATGGCGAAAGTCAGAAGACGTGCCAGACGTATTGCAGCTTTGGGCGCGTTTGTCACATTTTATGTGGCGTCTCATCTACACAGACAATTTTTTTTATGTGGCAATTTTTATTTGCCAGATAAAAGCTAACACGCCAGCTTTTCAGCAAATGAAGTTGTCACATAAAAATTGGCCATTTTTCGTCATCTACACAGGCAAAGAAAAATTGCCACATAAAAATTGCCATATAAAAATTGCTCATGTAGACGGGGCTTAAGAGTGACCCAACATTTATTTTCTCCTTACGACATCACCTCAGAATCAAACATCAAGATCATGAGAATCAAGGAAATGATTCCCCACCTGAGAAGCTCTTGAATGTTAAACAAAATAATTCTCCTTGGCGGGACCGTAGGAAATGTATAGGGAACAGTGCAAAGAAAATCGCAGATTAACAACTTTTTGCTTCTTTATTATTATATTGAACAAATAAATTCTGTCTGTACAGTAAAAGATCACAGGTGACGTCAAAATGACATCAGTGACATATCAGTGACACACTTGGCTGTGCCTTGTGTGCCACTTTTTTGTTTTTACCCCATTTTGATGTCATCAGCAATTTTTACAAACAGACTTATAGCAACATGAGGTAGTGTTTTCTTTTAAAGTGATTGCTTCTCCATGGAGGAGTACCATTATAAGGGACATGGTATTTTAGTGTTGCTTGTAGGAAAGTCGTCACTAAGGTGATGACTGTGGGAAAACATTAGAGAGATTTAGCACCATGTTCAGGAGAAATCTAAATGGTAAAAGTGACCATGGGACCTTGTTTTTCCTGCCAGTTTTTCATGTTTACCGGTTGCTCTTAGTTGTTTCTTTGCAAAAGTTACCTGTTTTTCTTTGTCGTTTCTTGGCAAAAGTAACCTGTTTCACGTTTGCCATGCATGTAAGACTTTCTTCACTTTTTCTCA